CCCCCCACCCCCAAGCCAAGAGCCGAACACTTTTTTTTTCTTCCATTTTTTTCTTCTTCCAACAAAAAGAAAAAAAAATAGTGCACACGCTGAGATTTACCGTCGAGTTCATTGAACCCGACCGACAGGGATTTGGTCCTCTTTCTTTTCATCCCTTTTGGATTCTGTATCCTGCGGCTTGTTCCGTCGGACGCTACAACCCTTGTTGCTGCTGCTGCTGTTCACCTACAGCCTGGATGCACCCTCGTGTATCACATGTGCCTCCGTATAGGGGGCTTCGTGTACGTAATCGATGTCTATAGCCTATTGGGTTTTCGATTTAGCTCGATTTTGTTGGCCAGCCTGGAGGAGATGACTCTTTAGGCGCTTGCTCGCTCGGAAGACAATTTTACGTGGATTATGAACGGTCGGAAACAAGACAAACAGCCTTAAGGTCATTTCTTGGTCGATTTATTATTTTTTACTTGAAACTTTTTTTTTCTTTTTTTTTTTTTCTTTTAACGGGAAATGCTTTGCTACGGGCTTAACGAAAATTTGATTGGGAAACGAGTTGCGTAATTTTGTTGCGTTCCAGACGTTTCAGGTTTACTTTTCGGAGAGTTTTTTTAGTTTCTAAATTAATTGGAGGTTATTGTGTGGGTACGTGAAATCTTACTCAGATTTTCTTGTTTATATTTTTTCTTTGGCTGCTGGTTATGTAAATACGGATATATATTACATATATAACGCTACCAAGGGCTGCCGGTTACACTTAAAATCCTTCTACCTTGCTAAACCCGTCGTCTTTTTTCTCCTCTTTTCTGGATTTTTAACGAGCATCTCGTATTAGTATCTCTACTAATGGAGGTTTTCTATCTCGGCGCGAAAAAGTTACCTTTTTACGCAACGGCGTTCATCTTACCGTCGTAAAGTACTGGATAACGCCGGTACGAAACTACCGGTTTAATCTATTCTAGTACGTAGGTAACGTACACTTATACGCGATCTTTATACAAGTACAGAGGGTTGGTTGTGTAACTGACCATTAAATTTTATACTAATTTTAGGTAAAACTTGTAGTTAGCATAAAATTGAACGGATTTCAGGAAAATAAATTGTCTATGCTTTTGCAACGTTCGGTCCATTTTCAGAAGATGCACAAAAATTTTAAACGACGTTTCACCACTCTTCGAGCTCTTATTAGTCCCCTGTGTTTCTCTTGAAAATTGAATAGAAACCAGCGAAAAATCATTGCCGTCGCCAACTTTCGGGTCATTCGCCAAGTTCTTTCAGTTAGCTTCACCGGTCATCAATTATGCGAACACTGTTTATGGCCGTCGTAAAATTTTTCTATTGACTGTACTCATCATTGATTTAAATCACTATCACGCGTTTTGACGAATAAATTTTTGATTTGCATAGTTATCTTTTAATTTTGATTATTCCGAAAAAAAAAAATAATAATAAATTGGGTCTTATCGAATTTTTGCAACGGTTTAAAAAAATAATTTGATTTCTTTTCTTTGTATATTCAATATTATCGATTTTGTTGTAGGTACTGTTATCAGTGTCGTGGGCTATCGGGAGAAAACTCAAGGAGCCACCAGGGATCGAGAGTGCCGGTAAGCAAATATATAATATCAATATCATGAATATCGACAAGTACACTCGATAGTGTACAATAAAATAATAATAAGCGCTGTTAAAAGAAGTTTGACACTCCCAGTACAGTGAACACAAGTATATGTAACAGTGGACGAATTTTTACATGCCAATAAGATTTATACGTATACCGAACAGGACTTACTGATTAAGTCATTATATTTACTTAAGACGCGCTAATGTACACAAAGTAAATCTGTTTCTTTGGATATGTGCAACAAAAATATTTTTTGATATATACTCGTTAGCCGTTTCGACGATAAATTTTTGAGCTATCGACAATGACTGTCATCGGAAATTTATTATTTTTCCTAAACATCAATTTACATTTAATTCAAATTTATAGAATTGATATGAATGTAGTAATATTTTGCTCCTATACCGTCCTCTTGGTTTTCTTCCTCTTGCATTGACAACGAGCTATATCTGTGCGTCTTGCTACAAGAGCAGATACAGAACGAATTTTCATATGGATTTGATCGATTTCGTCATATTGCTACCACTGAAGAGTCACGTGACATATATGCTCGGTCGGCTCATACAAAAGAGACAAGAAACGGATGTCACTAGGTCCTTGGAAGGATTGAGAAAATTTACGATGCGAGTTCGCGGTGTATATACATCCTGCACATATATCCAATTGAACTTGGTAACACACGATATATATATGTATCGTAAATTCATACATCACATATGGTCCTATATTCATATGCATAGGTTATTTTAATCGACTATTAAATCAGTTCCAATTTTGGCAATTTCCCGTAGACCTATTAAGGTATGTCAATAAATTTATTGGGTTTACACGTACGGGTCGTCACACGTGCTGAACACGTGTCTAACTTTGACAGGCGCGGGATGTTCCAAAATGGGCTTGTAAACAGGGTTTGAATACTCGAAAATAGATTTTACGAGGTGATTTAGGAAGATTTCTCGTTGACGCGGTTGCACAATCCGATCCGACGATCTTTGATCGAAAAATGTAGCAATCGGGTTGCGTCAGTTTTCATGATTGGTCAGCCTCGTCAGTCTAACGACCCATCCGTATCATTTTGCATTGGGATATATCCACTGTCATTTATTGGCTTCGTTTGTCGAGAATAGTCAGTGAGCGTCGTTGGCTGACCTTTAACACGGTGCAGCAATTTGCTTTGCAGATTCGTACGTCATACGGTATATATATATGTTTATACCATTGTATATAGACATTTGGTAGGACATATCCATTTCAGCCGACTGGCTTATACGTCGGTATCCGCACTTTAGATACCTAATTAGCTGCCGCGAGGTTTGCCTAACGCGGAAGCTTTCATTCTCCATGCATGTACATTCCGAGTCCTCGAAATGTAACTTTAGATTAAACAGTTTCTTCGAGTTTAATAAAGCTTAATGCACAGCCGGCTTTGACGGCAACAAGTGCAAATTGCACTGGAAAGCCAGCATTAACCGAGAAGGTCGCGTTGCAGCTGCATCTCGGATTCCAATATACACGAGCATGTTGACACGTGAGATACAGGCTTTATGTATATATTTACTTTTATTTAAACAAGAATTTCGGGGCGTACACACTGCACGGTGTGGACGTACCGATCTCACGGGGATTCAATGTCAAATTACTGTTTCGATAAGGTACGTGAAAATTGCGTTTGTCACAAATTTTTTTTTTTTTTTTTTTCATTTTATTTATATCGAAATTCAGTTTTGACCTAATTTATCTGCTGACCTTGAAATTCGTTTGTTTGCGCGATAACAAAATCGACTCGATGGTTCTCTATCTGTATATATGTACATGGGGCGATTAACTGGAATTAGCTCGGTCGAAATTCCCGGATGTCCACCCCTACAGCGGTCGCCCCTCCCAACGAGGGTTGAAATTGGTTCACTAACGCCGATCCCTCTTTAGCCGAGCCGCTGTATGCTTCTGCTTTCGTTGTATGCTGTTTGGCGAGGTCAGTGGATTTTATCTTGCCTCTTTCTTTTTTTCTTTCTTCTAAGATACCTACCCTTTCCGTTAAACCCACGTCGATTATCGATCTGATCGGTTAGCGATCGCTGTACGTTAAACAAGCTCCTTTCTATACAATATAACCCTCGTTCAATTCCTCGCTTCGCTGCCGATTACCTTCCTTCGTATTCACCCACTTCCACTTCATCATTCCACGGCGCATTATCCAACCCCCTTGGAACGTGTTAGCCTCGATTTTTTTCTCCCTACGCTTCATTAAGGATTATTTTCAACTGGAAGCGACCATTTTCGCCGGTGCTTCTTGGGATAACAATGTCATTTGCACGTGCTGGTAGGACTCCATGAATATTTTTTGGATATATCTTTTTAAGCGACTCTTGCTCTTCGTACGTCAGCCTAATAGACTCGTGAAATCGTCACTTGGTAACAATATAATTATATTTTGAAAAAGTTCGAGGGTCAATGATATTCATTTAATTTTCAAATTATATTGATCCTGTTGTTATTATTATTTGTGATACGTCATATCGTACAGCTTTAATTACTTATATATCTGTACTTGGGTCTCGATGACGTCGATCAACCTGGTTCGCATTGTCAAGGGATTTCGATGAAACGTGAAATATTGTCTGTTTGATATTTATAATCTGTTATACATGTACAGATGATATATACGCGTTAACGATATACAAAACATTTCTTTCACGTCATTTAAGGAGAAAAGCCTAATTTATTTCTTTCTCGAACATCCATGTTTTTTTTACACTCTTTCACGAGGACTTCTCCGGCTGTTTAATTTTTCGGGCTTTGGGCGTTGACGGTGTATCGAGTGATGGAACGAAGGAACGACGGAACGACGGAACGACGGAATAGCTGTACCAGCGAACGCTCGTTAACGGAAAAGGGACACGCGTATCCGCGCGATGAAAGTGTATAAGTGAAAAGGGAGACGGTGACACTCGTGACTGACAAGCCTATAAAAGCAATATTATCCGAAATATACAGGATACAGAAAATGCTCAGGAAGAGTCGAAAATTGTGCGAATAATAATAACATAACGCACATATGCACTTGACTTTTGGATTTCGTTGATCCTTGGTATACTCGGGACACGCTCGTGTACTATTACGTCATTACGCAATATGCGCATTCACGAGCCAGGCCAACCGCCATTAATCAATCCCACGGGACTTTGCGACAAGTATCCAGTTTGCGTTTAATTTTTAAAATTCGCCAACACCCGTCCAGCCGGTATTCGCGTCTAGTTGTATCTCGAAATCCCATCAACTCGCTCAACCTGAAAAGCCCGCGAAATTCAAATTTGCAGTGGGGTCGCTCGTCATAATATATTAAAAAGTTTCATTCTCCTTCCCGGCCGAGAGAGACAGAACGAAGAGGGGACGTCAGAATCGAAGTCCCGTCAGCGTAAACGCTGTATCCGTTTTAAACGACGGCGAAAATCTCAATTTCCATATCCTCGTTATGGACCTGAAAAAGTCACCAAATCAACTTTAACTTCTGTATCGGCACGGCAACAGCTGTATGGTATTTCCCTGTCATTTGCGTATCCCTGGACTGTGTCTGTGATATGTATTTTTTTCTTTTTTTTTTCTATTTACAAAAAAAAAAAAAAACGTCATTTCATAAAACGCTCTTACAGGGGTCTCAGCTTGACGAATCGATGACACGTGCGTTACGGCGCCTATACGCGGTTGAGGGATGCTGCAAGGCGTCGCGACGAATCTTAAGCCGGTATCGCCCGCTTTCCTTACATAATACGTACCTCGTGTCCCCTATTAAGTTTGGTTAGGTTAGGGGTTTCCCCCCCCCTCCCCGGATTTCTTATATCCGAATGATCCTACTTCGCCTTCGTTTCGCCTCTCGTATACATGGACGAAGGAAAACGGGCAGGGATTTCTTCGGCATTCGGTCCACGTGTCGTCCCCTAAGCCCTTACCACCCTTCAGCCGACGACGAATCTTCGTCAAACGAATACTGGGGGTACCTTATCAGGTGGCAGATTCTCCTTCAGGTATCTCGTGGGTCGACTCCGCTTGAAGAAGCAAAGTGGAAACTCATTAACGGAGGCACGCTTCATTATCCGTGACTCGAATAGGCGAATTTTCTGAATGATCGTATGTGGTGATATCGCCTTCTGGAAAGTGGATGAAGAACAGGAGTGCCACGTGTACATAGGGAATTTGTAGCTAAATTTTCGGATACCTAATCAGTGACTTGAATGGGTCGAGTCAACTCTGGATATTTAATGTCGATCTTTGGAAATTGTGCGATATCGTTTTATCATTTTTTGACTATTTTTTTTTTTTTTTTTTTTTTTTTTTTTTTTTTTTTTTTTTTTTTTTTTTTGTATAGATAATTACGCAAAACCAATGAAAAGCCCGACTTCGATATGCGCACGGATCTTGGGTGTTCGAGGATACGTTTTTTTTTTTGTGTGTTTTAATGGTAACCAAATGTTTCTCTGGTTTAACAGCCATTATCGGATAAGAATTGCCAATAATGGCCTTCTGGCCGCCTGCCAATTCTGCTCTACGAGCAGAATGGATTAATCGAGAGATTAAATATAGACTCGTATGTGGGTGTAGTATGGAAATATTATCCTGCTGTCCTAGAGGATCGTAATTTCACGTTACCTATTGGCTGTTTATACTTATTGGGTATGGATTGTCAATATATTTATTTTCTCTCGTAATACCCGATCGATATCGAAATCCCTTGTAATTTTCCTTGCACCCTTATTGCCTGGCGTTACTTTAGCCGTAGCGTTTGGCGCTATCGTTTCCGAGTTTAGGAGGTTGCTGTCTCCATAACTCAATTTCTCCACTGTCTTTGCTTAATGACGCGTGTTGGAATCGGGCGGGAATAAGTTTTCGCGTGGAAGAGAGAGGGGGGGGGGAGAGAGAACCGAAACGACCCGGTTAGATAGGCAGAAAGACGTAACTCGATGTAGGAAGCGAAATCGTCGGCTCGTA